GCCATGTTGTCTTTCATGGTAAGGAAGTTATAATATCAGTTCTACTTCCGATTCTTGTGGTTTGTTTTACATATTTTTCTAGGTCATGATATGAGTTAACCTTCGCTATTCTAAAAATAGATTCTGCTTCACCTGTTTCTGATTTTTGGACAGGCGATTAGGGAGTACACATTTATATACATGTAATAAACCAATACTTTTAGAAATTCTATACAATTGTAAGAAGCAAACAAGTTGAAAATGGAATTTAGTGTGAAATTGAAAAGGACAACTAAACACTGTAGTGCTTAAGTGACATTTAAATTAAAATAAAAACGATGTGCTCTGGCCTCTACATCTTTACCTTGTAAATAAAAAAAATCTAAAAAATACACTATTAATTGCTGATGATTTTAACCAAATTTATTTTTAATGAGACATAAAAAATACAAATGGCACAGGCTAAAACGCAGACGCTTATGCAGACAATATAGAATATATAGTAAAACGCAGACAATATAGGTACATGTATATAGTGTTTTCACAAAACGCAGACAATATAGATATAGAACAGAACAGAACATATATTTTATTTTGAATTAAGCATATACAGCTCATCTTCATATACAACAAATATATACATGCATGAATATGAAAAATGGTAAGCGCATATCAATAAATAAAGTAAACTAGTGAGAGTGTAATACAACACATGTAATATTTACAATCCTTATTTATTTCATGCTTTCCAGTGTTTTATTGTAATATATCAGATGATTATATTCTGATAAACCACTAGTGAAATTTATAAAATATAATTTTCACTGTAGCCGGACTATATCTGAATGCGGATGAAAAGAAAATCAAAACTGAATGGAATAACAGGCAAAAATAAATGCCGTCATGCGTAAATTTTGCTTCTTTCGGAAAAGAAAGTTGAAGTCACCATACATTATGTTAAAAATGTAACAAAATTAAAGAAATTTAACAGAACTATATTTCAAACTTGTTGATGTGACGTCATGATGTGATGACGTCACGAAGGAGAATGCGCGACGTTACGCGGCAAAATCAGTAAAAATTACTTAAAATCACTTAAAACGCATGAAATAAAAAGAAAATTTATTTGTTTTACATATAAGATTGAAATATATTTCATTCGTGAACACCAGCTATTATATTTTCACTCGTGGCTACGCCACTCGTGAAAATATTGCATCTGGTGTTCACTCAGTGAAATTATATTTCAATCTTACATGCAAAACAAACAAATATCCTCTATTTATTTCATGCTTTCCAGTGTTTTATTGTAATATATCAGATGATTATATTCTGATAAACCACTAGTGAAATTTATAAAATATAATTTTCACTGTAGCCGGACTATATCTGAATGCGGATGAAAAGAAAATCATAACTAAATGGAATAACAGGCAGAAATAAATGCCGTCATGCGTAAATTTTGCTTCTTTAGGAAAAGAAAGTCGATGTCACCATACATCATGTTTAAAATGTAACAAAATTAGAGAAATTTAACAGAACTATATTTCAAAATTGATGATGTGACGTCATGATGTGATGACGTCACAAAGGAGAATGCGCGACGTTACGCGGCAAAATCAGTAAAAAACACTTAAAATCAATTAAAAAGCATGAAATATAAGATTGAAATATATTTCATTCGTGAACACCAGCTATTATATTTTCACGAGTGGCGATGTCATTATTGTTGCAAATAGTACATTTCCGGTCATTTCTATCAATATTATTGTGTCTACCTGTTTCTATTAATAAATTGTGAGATGATAATCTAAGTTTAGCCAATATATTTCTTAATTTCATAGAGTCAACAATATCCAGGTATTTAGACCTGCTAAAATCGGTTTTGATATGTTTATACAAATACAAAGAAGAACAAATATGTACACTAGAATGCCAATTTGTGATATAAATATCTTTTAAACGACCATGTAGGACTGGTATTAATATATTTAGCTTAACTGATTCTGGATACATACACACTTCATTAAATCCAGCACTTTGCAAAAGTGTTTTAACTTTAGACAACCAATTTACAGTATTAGACTTTGACTCTATCTCCAATCTCTGACAATTAACAATATAATTTAATATACAATTGCTTGATTTATTTTGGTATATTTTTAAAAAATATTTAACAATTCTTACATGACGTGAAATATATAATGGAAATCGGCCTACTTCTGCAAACAGTGAAAGAGTATTTGTTGACATTTTCACATTAAGCAACCATTTACAGAACTTCCTATGTACAATTTTCCGATGGTAGGCTACCCCATACCTCGCAACTATAATTTAGAATTGGTAGAACATATGCATCAAACAGGTTGAACATAATATCAATTGGAACTTGCTTATCTCGTGTTACATTAAATAATGAGCTCATAGCCCGTAGTGCTTTGCCTTTAAGTGTGTTGGTCGCTGGTAGGAACGAACTTCCGCTTGACAAAACAATACCTAAGTAATTAAACGTTTTTACTATTTCTATATTTAAACCCCCATATATCCACTTATAACTTTTATTTAAAACTCCGCCCTTTCTAAAAACAACAATCTTAGTCTTATCTACGTTAACAGTAAGATGCCATTTGTTACAATATTTTTCTAAACTATTTAAGGAATTTTGTAAACCTTGAGCAGATTCAGAACAGATAACGGCGTCATCTGCAAATAATAGCAAATAAATCGATATTTGATCTAATGTTATACCATCATCTAAATTTTCTTGTAATAAATTTTCTAAATCATTCAAAAAGAGACTGAACATTATTGGTGAAGTTATCTCACCTTGAAAGAGACCCATTTCACTACTGAAAAATTCAGACAACGTATTTACATGTTTTACACACAATTTAACATCTTCATACATTGAATATATTACAGAAAACAATTTGCCATCAATACCACATTTTATCAGTTTATACCATAGGCAGTTCCTATCAATTAGATCGTATGCTTTTTTAAAGTCAATAAAACAGCAAAATAGTTTCTTCTTATCATTTATAAACCTTTCAACCAAAGAATGTAATATAAAAATAGCATCTACAGTGCTATAATCTGCTTTAAACCCAAACTGGGCATCCGTAATTTTGTCATTTTCTACAGACCATTTCTTCAGCCTGTAATCACTGTGAAAAACTTAGCAAAACAACTTGTTATCGTAATTCCCCTATATTTACTCGGGTCTGTTGAATCACCCTTTTTATGTAAAGGAATAATAATACCGGATGACCAACATTTTGGGAAAGATCTACTATCAAGAATATAATTAAAAAGCAATTGTAAAGGATTCACAATATCATTTATACATGCTGTAAAGTACTCGTATAAGATGTTATCAGCAGAACAAGCTTTATTACTACCTAAGCTTTTTGATGCTAGAACAATCTCTTCCACAGATATCGGTTTATCAAGTTCTTCAAATGTAGCATTGTTGCCTTCTGATTCTAAGAAAGTTTTTACAAAGTCATCGCAATCATTATTAGTTTCACGTTTATCATGATTTGTAGAAAGATTTTTAAAATGTTCATAAAAAGAGTCAACTGTTATTTCTTCACCCCGATTTCCTGGCGATTTCTGTTTAAACGTCTTCCAGAATTCACGTGGTGATTTATGTTTTATTGTATTTAGAGATTGGGCAAATGTTTTATTATAATTATTTTTACATTTACGACAATAATATTTATAGTCCTTTTTCTTGGTATAAACGTTCATTCTTTTCTCATCATTTGGGTTGATATTATATTCATACATTGCCTTTTTAAACAATTCATGTTTTTCTTTGCACACTTCGTTATACCACTTTTGCCTGTTTACGTCTGTACCAGTAAAATACACAGTTTTACTTTTTGTGCAGCGTTCAAAGTATTTCTATATATAGTAGAAATGGTTGTAATGGGAATTAAAGGTAAAGGAGGATGATAGCCCTATATAATGAAATAAATATATGTATATTTATTAAAATAGATAAATTTATTAGAATAAAACAAAATATATATTTATTAGAATTATTTTTTTAAAATGCATTTATGGATGGAAGGTATTTAAATAATTTAACAATGATCAAAGGGTATATATTATTAAGAATTACATACAGGCATTTTATTTTCAATTTTAATTGTATTTTGATAATCTACCCCTTTTATGTATAATTTGCACTTAAAAAAGATATTTTATTGGATGCTATTCTGATATTATTCTAAAGTAAATTGAATAATTGCAACCAATTAAAGGATGAAAGATCAAAGAGAAAATTAGTTTCCTATATATGTATATCATATACAAATCGAAATGACATGGTTTGTTTGATATTGATAATAATTGTTTGAATAAAAAGAGAAAACAAGAAATGTTACATGGGAGATGAACATTTATATATGTTTTTGCCGAATAAAATATTGAAATTTTTAACATTTATAAATGACAATATTATAGTTCAAAAGAATAATAATAAAAGACATGAACAAAAGAATTAGTCCAATAATATAATGTCCTTATAAAATTTGGACAAATAATTATATAATTTTAATCCTAATATCCAATCATATCATTATCAAGACATTAGTGTTAATGATAATTATTATTGAGCTACTATTTTTATAGTATAAAAATACATTTTTTGAATATCCTTTTCTCATACATCTTATAGTATTAATAATAAAAGAGTGATACATATTGTGGATAATTTCTGTTGCTGGATTTATCATTTGGAGATTATAAAATTATTACTGATATGTTTTATAGCGAACAAAATGTCATCAATGATGTGGTACCATTCTTTTCAGTAAGTGCATAAAGTATTTCAATGGCTTACTTATGTCATGCTTCATGATTGCATATAGTTGTTGATGATTGTTTGAAATTGATTAGATTAGTGTCACTTCACATGTGCATAATTAATTGCCTATAGCCAAGGGGATTAGAGTTACCCCCACAGTTTGTCCCCTGTTGATAAGGAAAGTGTGACCACATCCTGTGTCCAATGTTGCAACTCTTATTCTGAGTTTTTTGAATGTGCAGTTGGTTTAAAACAGGGAGAAGTTATGTCCCCTTTATTATTTTCATTATTTATAGAAGACTTAGAGTTATTTTTGCAAGAAGATTACACTTGTGGCCTTACGATAGATGACATTACCTTCATTTTGATGCTTTTTGCTGATGATATGGTTATATTAGGTAGAACACCTTCAGAACTTCAAAAACACTTTGATATGCTGAAAATATATTGTGATAAATGGGGATTATCAGTAAACACTAGCAAAACTAAAGTAATGGTTTTTAGAAAACGTGGGAATACAAAGCAAAATGAAACATGGACCTATGCTGGCAATAGCTTAGAAGTTGTAAATGATTTCAATTACCTTGGTACAGTGTTTAATTATACTGGAAACTTTGCATCTAATCAAGAATACATAGCTGGGAAAGGACTCAAAGCCCTTAATATCTTAATGACTAAAATTAAAGCTTATAAAATAAGCCCACAGACTGTGTGTCAACTCTTTGATGCTTTTGTAGGTTCAATTCTAAATTATGCTTGTGAAATCTGGGGTTTTTCTAAATCAAAAGAAATTGAACGAATACATTTAAAGTTCTGTAAACAACTACTTAATGTTAAAACTTCAACAAGTAACATGGCCATATATGGTGAATTAGGTAGATATCCTCTTTACATAAACAGATATACAAGAATGATAAAGTTTTGGTGTAAAATATTGACATCTGATAATATTATTATAAATACTCTGTATAAAGAATTATGTAAATCAGTAGATACTACAAATGTTAGGAACTGGGCAACTAATATTAGGTCCTTACTAAATGACTTTGGTTTTTCATATGTGTGGAATAATCCTAATGCTGTGAATATGAATACTTTCCCAGACATTTTTAGGCAGAAAGTATATGATGTCTTTGCACAGACATGGTTCAATTCTGTAAATAATTCAGAAAAACTTTATTTATATAAAAACTTTAAAACATGTATTGATTTTGAAATTTACCTGAATGTGTTGCCTAACACCCTTCGGAATTCACTGTCCAGATTAAGGTTGTCATCCCACAAGCTACGCATAGAAACTGGTAGATATGCACAGAACCGAATAGAACGAAACCAGCGTTATTGTACTATCTGTAACGAAAGAGATATAGAGGATGAATACCATTTTGTTATCAAATGTAAAGCCTACATGCCTTTAAGACAGATGTATATAAAACCTTATTTCTATAGAAATCCTAGCGTGTATAAATTCAATGAATTATTACAGTCAAAAAATGTTGGTGTAATAAAAAAATTAGGTAAATTTGTTTATGAAGCGTTTAAGCTTAGAGAAACATTAAATTGACATGAAATATTTGTGAAATGTAAATGTATGATACCTGTTTTAAAAGTAATTCAACATGCACAGGCCTGCATTACTTTTGTATGTTTTTTTTTTCTACAGTACGGTAAAATTGTAATAATAGATAATTTATTAATGTTATAATACAGTAAACTAAATTTATGTCTAGATTTGGTATACTGGTGCCTCGTATTTCCGTGGTACCCATATTTCCAAGGTATCAGACTTAAACAGTCTAAAGTGCCTCCTAAACTTCATGAATCTGCCAGTAGTTTTACTTTTACTATTTTATTGTATTTTTATCGAAATATTACAAATAGAACTAAAAAAAAATATTTTATTTAGTTTTAGAGAAAGGTTACTTAATATTTCACAATTTTTCTTTTAGATTGCATACCTTTTGAGAAAATCTTCTTTGTTAAACAACCATTGAGGTATTTGATAAGTGCCAAAGAGAAAATCGCCCCTTTCAGATGAGCCTAGGTATAGGTGTACTAATAGATAAAGTTTTACATTGGTTTTGCTTTTGAAACTGTTAAAAGGTAATTGCCTTGGAAATATGAGAACACAAATTTACTCACAAGGCTGCAGATGGGTGTGCATTGCAATGTTGTATACATAATTGCTTACATGCAAACATTAAATGGAATAAACTGTGATGCAATTGATATGTCTCTCCTACAATATTCACTGTATTTTCCAGAATTTTATCCTCTTAACTTCTGTTGTCTGGGTTAAACAGTTAAGTACCTCGGAAATATGAGGCACCAGTATATCTGTTCATGGTATTGTAAGATTTATGTTTTTTTTTTTGTTGTTTTTTTTCCTCTCTGTTTTTTCACTTATAAAAATGTATGATATATATGTTTTAGAATTATGTACAAAGATGTATATCATAGAGATGTATTATAAGTTATTTCATGCAGCGACATTTGCTAACAAAACATAGTCACAACCTATGGGCTTTTTACATAATCTTGGAACAGTGTTTACATCATGTATATATAAACTTGTACATGTGTACTATACATCAGTTGAGAATTATCAAATATCATGTTATTACGGGCAAATGTCGCTGCATATATTTGTTTGGAACACCTGCTCTGTACATTTATGTAACATACTGTCATATTTTTAACTTACCTACTCAAATATATATCCAGTAATGCGGTCAAATATGTTGAAAAACATCGAAAATCTTTTTCCAGTCATGAAGCGTGGTCGCAAAAAGGCGTGACGGTTTATTATTTCCGGTCTCCATATTTGGCATGGGGACGGTAATGATTGGTTGATATTAGTAAATAACAATGACGTCGATAAAGTTTATGAATGGGCAAATGAGTGTTTACTTTCGGTTTTCCTTATATGGTAATGTTTACTACGGAAATAGCTTACAGGTATTCTGACCCAATTACGGATATATTCACTGCAATTTTACACCTTCATGTATATATGTAATGGACCGAATGGACCACTCTCACTCGAATGCTAGAATTGACTTGTTCATTATTTAGCAGTTATGAACTTGATTATTTATTTATATAATGATTTATGTACAGTACATTATGTTTGTGTATATGTATATGACGAGAAACTATGTAGTTTAAGTCAATAAAATGTTCTTCTTCTTCTTCTGTGTATTATACGAATGCGAATACGAAAACTTTATTTGTATAAAGCATAGTACAATGCTTATAACAAGTATAAATTGTAATATATATAATGTTTGGAGATCAAAACATGGATTTTTCCAGCAAACATAAGATGTTTCATGGAATATAATGTTCAATATTCAATATAATATTTAACATGTTTAATATATATGTTGCGCTTGCATGCATAAGTTTCAAATAAACAGACACCAACCTACAATATCCTGAATAGTCTGCACTTAACTTATTCTGTCATTTTCTAAAATATAAAGACATGAAGAACACTAAAGTCCTACAGACTAAACGTAATATTCACTGTTGCAAGTCAGTTCCTTTGAAAGATATACATGCAAATGCAAACATCTTAAACAATAAATTATGGTTCGAATATATTTCATTTTCAGATATTACTAGAAGAGATACTATGAAATACGTTGTCTATTTGCTAAGTAAATAAATTTAGATAATGCACATATAGTTTTCTTAGAATTAGAAGACATTAGGCTGTCGAATTTTATAACAGACGGCCAGTGACAATAATAAGGTTTAAAAAGCCTTTTCCTCAATTCTCTAGCTATAACGTGGACAGACTAACAAAAAATGATACTCTGTTTCAGGTTGTCTCATTAAAACAAGATTTACATATTCTTTCTGATCTTGGTATATTTTCCTATCGACCAGATTCTACACATAGCTAAGTTATGTGATGACGTTCTAAATTTAGTAAGAGCAATTCTATGATTTTTGTCTGTGATTAAATCAAAATACTTTTCACATTTATAATCATGTTTAAAAATGCTATAAGTTTGCAGGCGACCAGAATTGTTTATATCAGTATACCACTTCTGTATAAAAGTATCTATAATTATTTGTCTGATAATGACAAAGGGAATATCTATATCAAACTGGTTAATCCATACATACGCTAAACCATGGGTTGTTAAAATGTTTTTAATATAAAAAGCCCAGTTTTTCGAGTTATATGTATTCCCAGAATCAACATCTTGCTTAAGCATTGAATAAACTTTTTTTAACAATCTCTGTATCGTCAAGCTTAATAATTTTCACCCAAAACTTAATCATCTTAATTTGTCTCATCACAGAAAAAGGGTAACGGCGTAATTCACCGTATAGCGCCGAGATGTTAGTTGATTTTCGAACGCATAAAAGTCGTCTCAAAAATTTTGTATGTATTTTTTCAACATCGCGTCCGTCATGCATTCCCCAAATTTCTGATCCAAAGTTAAGGATTGAGCCGACAAGTGAATCAAAAATTCTACATTTCTGAGAAACAGATAACTCAATATTATTAAATATGGTAAAAACGTTATAAAGAGCAAATGAGGCATGTTCAGATATATATTTCTGAGTTCTATACCAGTTTCCGTTCTTTAACAAAGTGATACCTAAATATTTGAATGAATTCACCAGTTCAATAAGGGTGTCGTTAACATAAAAGTCATGGTGTGTATGTCTGCCCTTTTCAAAAATCATTGCTTTTGTTTTCGAGGTATTTATCTTTAATCCCCAAAGACTACAGTATCTCTCGACATCAGACATCATCGACTGTAAACTCTGTGCATGGGGACTTAGCAAACAATACTTGGTCGTCTGCGAAAATTTTTAAGAATAGCTGAAGTTCATCAATAGAGAAAATACCTTCTAGGTCGGTATTAATATACCTTAAGATGTCGTTCACGAAGAACATAAACAGCAGAGGGGAATCTGTTTAAAATTAAATTCTTTTTGTTATAAGTAACAGTAAAATGCAGACACTATAGATATATAGTACAACTTTTGATAAATGCAGACAATATGCAACATATAGTAAAACGCAGACAATATAGAAATAATAGAGAAAATATTTGTTTAAAATTAAATTCTTTTTGTTAAAAGTAACAGTAAAATGCAGACACTATATATATAGTAGCATATAGTAAAATGCAGACAATATAGATATATAGTACAACTTTTGATGCAGACAATATGAAACATATAGTAAAACGCAGACAATATAGATATATAGTAAAATGCAGACAATGTAGATATATAGTAAATGCAGACAATATGTAGCATATAGTAAAACGCAGACAATACAGATATATAGTAAATGCAGACAATATGAAACATATAGTAAAATGCAGACACTATAGATATAATAGAGAACATATTTGTTTAAGATTAAATTCAATTTGTAAAATGCAGACACTATAGATATATAGTACAACTTTTGATAAATGCAGACAATATGAAACATATAGTAAAACGCAGACAATATAGATATATAGTAAAATGCAGACAATATAGATATATAGTACAACTTTTGATAAATGCAGACAATATGTAGCATATAGTAAAACGCAGACAATATAGATATATAGTAAATGCAGACAATATGAAACATAAAGTAAAATGTGGACACTATAGATATAATAGAGAACATATTTGTTTAAGATTAAATTCATTTTGTAAAATGCAGACACTATAGATATATAGTACAACTTTTGATAAATGCAGACAATATGAAACATATAGTAAAACGCAGACAATATAGATATATAGTAAAATGCAGACACTATAGATATATAGTACAACTTTTGATAAATGCAGACAATATGTAGCATATAGTAAAACGCAGACAATATAGATATATAGTAAATGCAGACAATATGAAACATATAGTAAAATGCAGACACTATAGATATAATAGAGAACATATTTGTTTAAGATTAAATTCATTTTGTAAAATGCAGACACTATAGATATATAGTACAACTTTTGATAAATGCAGACAATATGAAACATATAGTAAAACGCAGACAATATAGATATATAGTAAAATGCAGACACTATAGATATATAGTACAGTATAGTAGGAGACAGCCAAAAAGCATTAGCCATTAATATATTACTTTCTTGTCCACATTTCTTTTATGTTACAAATTATGCAAAGCTAGTATTAAATATTTTATTTCAAATTAATTTAATTAAAATCTAACATAGAATAAAAAAAACCCTTTCTTATATCACTATTTATATATTTATTGTTGATATTATGATACTAATAAAACATTTAAATAAAAACATTTCTAATCTCTAATTAAAATGTTATTTTTGTATCAAATAATAATTCTTATAAATCTCTTATTTTATAAAGTTAATCTGAAAAAAAAGTGGTGACAAGCTGTTAAGAGTCTAATTCACACCTTCTATTTCTATATCGTCTGCGTTTTGTGAAAACACTCTATATCTATATTGTCTGCGTTTTACTATATATTCTATATTGTCTGCATAAGCGTCTGCGTTTTAGACCGGCCCAATACAAATGACTTATATTTCATTGTCTATATGCCCACTATGATATAACACGAAGCAATTCTAAATAGCATTCTCGAATGTATAATGTATTAATTTATGTTTGAAGTTTATTTGCCTGGTTTTATTTTAGAAATATTTCGTTAACAGTTTTTTTCTATTTACATATCATTTCTTGGAATAAATCGATAAGGACACTGATTTACAAGTTTGATCAGAGTTTTTAGGCATAAATTTCATTCTGTATTTAAGTGCTTGAAAGTAGAAAATCTGAATTATATCAGTTTGGGACACAAAATATATTGCTCTACAAATCTCGAACTTGTATGGAACGAATTTTCTCTGTTATATATTTTGTGTTTTGTTTTGTTTTTTTCTAAAAGAAGCCTTAATGTCTCTCCGGTTGCATGTCCGTCGCATTCAGTGCTGCAGCACTTTGATTATAAATCAAATCATACTCCATCTAGCCAGGGTCTTTCAAATATCGGAAAGACCCTGATCTAGCGTAGTTTTTATTTTTGAGAGTCGAACAATGCATATCAGTTACTTATTGAACTTGAAGTAACAAAGTTCTGACAATATGTTACATGTCCAGAATGATGGTACAAAATAAAGAAGTAATTACATATTGTTGAGAACAATACTGATTTTATTGGACAAGTACACAGTTGCAAAATCTATTTCTGACTCGGCTGGCGCCTCGTCGATTTTCGGTATGACAACTGCATGTGTTCTCGTCCAACAGAATTCAGAACTGTACTAATTTCATATTACATGTATATTATTTAAGTCTATCAATTATACAATTTGACTACTGCTTATAAAGATGTACTACGAATAAACAAATGAGTTTTGGGATATACATGCACGGATATATTCAATGTCTAGACTGAATTTAACATGGCAAACATCTTATTATTAAAATTAATTAATTCACCCAATGAATGGCACTGTATTGAAGGATGATCTGTCATTTTTCTTTTTGTACGGAGAACAATGTGTCTGTGTCGTGTGTGTTCCAGTTATAATATGTGTAGACTGGTGCATATTCCACGGTGTCCTTGCTGCCTTTCCCTACTTTAATTTTCACTCGTCCTGTTGCACTCTCAGTCATTGTAGCAGTTGCTGAAAGTGATTTATGTAATCACAATTATTGCTATTTTCTAAATGATTCACAACATTTGTCTAAAACTTTTACAGTCAATGAAATCCAGCAATAGGTTTAAGGACCTCCATTGGGGCACATAAGCTTAAAGCATAAATTTGGTTACTGTGACACCTAAAATAGAAATATTAGCATACAACAATGGAAACTCTTTTCTTTTCTTAAAGATCGTGTGACTCAATCTTTTTATGGTTTTATAACTAAATATGATGCTCAAATGAAGATTAATCAATATCGTAAGTTACTAAAAACATTATTATACTACAGAATTTATCATTTCGTGTAAAGAAAGAGAGGTCATTAGAAATTTATTTTCGATATTTTTAGTCTTAGCCAACTTTTTCAATAAGAGATTTAATTATTACATTTCCTTATAGAGCGTATTAATAAACATTTGCAGTACATATTTTACATATTCTTGGATGTTTTAGAAGAATAATTATAAACATGTACATATACTAAATTTCATTTAAGTTGTGTACACATATTAAATTTCATTTAAGTTTTGTTACGCTCTTAATTACAACATACAGGTTTCCATTATTCGACCATTTTTAGCCATTTGTATACCAGTATTTATTCTGGGGAAAAAACTGAGTGACGAGTTGTCTAAATATTTTGCACGTAAGCTATTGGCTCAAACCCATATTAAATATAGAAATCTGGTGAATATATTTTAGTCATGTCAGTGTAAACCTTCTGAAAATAAACATTTCATGATATTCAAATGATTCAGCTGACATTGAGTTCCATATTAAAAATTCATGACTGTCATTCCTACGGTCATATGTTACGAGGATGTGGCAATACTATTATTAACATTTCATTTACAAAGTGGTACACTTCTAAAATGATATATTGACTCTTTGTAAAAGTGGGGCTACCACATTCCAAAAATATCTTTCTTAAATGCATTATTCTTGTAGAACAATATGAGCCGCGTCATGACGAATCCAACATAGTACGTTTGCGATCAGCATGGATCCAGACCAGCATGCGGAAGCGCAGGCTGGTCTGGATCCATGCTGGTCGCAAACCCATTATGTTGGTTTTGTCATGACGCTGTTCATATGCACTTACGTATATTTGTTGGCATTGATAAGTCTGTGTATAAGCCTCGAAGGCTGTTGCCTGGTTGGGGGAGCGAGACAGACATTGGTTCTTGTGTCGAAAGAGACAGACCATGCTGTTCTGCAACTGAGGTTAGTGGTATACTTCCTATAATAATCTCTACGGGAACCTCGAGATCAAAGCCTGGGCCTGAAGGATCTGCTATAATCTGTACCAATGATATTTTCATTATTTCTTGTGTATAAAGCCATATATCTACTGCACAACTGGGACATTAGAGCCGCGCCATGACAAAACCAACATGCGTTTGTTATCAGCATGGATCCAGACCAGCCTGCGCATCCGCGCAGTCTGGTCAGGTTCCATGCTGTTCACTATCAGTGTCTTTACTAAGCGAACAGCATGGATCCTGATCAGATTGCGCGGATGCGCAGGCTGGTCTGGATCCATGCTGGTCACAAACGCACTATGTTGGTTTTGTCATGGCGCGGCTCATTTTATCCTGTTTACGTAAAATATTTATGTGTGCTACATAACAGAGACATTCTACGTTACAACTATTTCAAGAATCAGTCATTAGATTATGGAAACAATATAAGTACAATGTTGATAAATTTTATAGATATAGCTTAAATATAGCCTTTAACTATTAAACATGATCAATTATTTATACAATGTGAACAATTAATTAATAATTATAAGTATTACAATAGAATATTGTGTTTGTTTTGTCATAAAAGAAGATATATTTGTTCAAATTTATAAGATAACTACACTCAGTGCAAAAATACATTAAACTCATTTGGTTTGATAATATTTGAGAAATTAATATTTCTAAATACAAATGCCCGGATGACCTCGGACAGGATTACCTCTACGAAGTAGTTGATGTCAATGATTTTACAACCATGGAGATAGGAATTCGATACAGGTGGAATGTGCAGCCTTTCATTGTTAAAGATTTCCGTCTCTCCACCTTTAAGTTTCCCATGTTTCAGTTCTCCTATGGTTTGTTTAAAAGCCATGGACTTCGTAGTTGCATGGTATGTAACCACCTGAAACAAAATCAGATTTGAGACGATTTGAAAAAAAAAAATCTTAAAGTAACTATATACATGTGTAAAAGGAAAACACATACCCCCTTTGGACGGGGCCAATGTGACCAAAAGGCTATAATCTGAACAATCTTGGTAGAGGTTTACAAGACAATGGCTTGTGCAAACTATCTATGCACTAGGTCTTTTGGTTCCAGAGAAGTAGATTTGTTTAAATTCCTTTACAGTATTCCTTTCGGTTGCCAAGGCAACAAGATTTCTGCATGGAATCAAAATTCTTTTGACAATTTCGGAATCCCTTTGCACAAGAAACAATCCTGGCAAGTAAAGTTGAAATCGGACTTTTTAAGAAGATTTTTTTAAGTTCACTATATAATCTATGTAACACACACACAGACGCACGTACACGCACACCAACACACACGTACACACGCACGCACGAATCGAATACATACATTCACATAAAGGTGAATCGGAATATGCCAACAAACCGCAGATTTTGGCATAAAAATAGATAATTCCATAACGTTAAAACGGAAGCACAGTGAAAATTATCAATATGGGAATTTATATTGTGCTTATGTTAATATGTAATACTACACTTTATTTAAGAAGAAATGAGAAAGAAATAAAAGATAAACAGAAAATGACCTAGATAAATAATTGAAAAGAGAAAACGGAGCCCCCTAAAATCGCCATAAATGACAAAATTTGTTCTGAAAATATCGGTAAACATGTATATATATTATATGTTATTTTGGTTTTGAAGTGATATATGTGGATATATTTAAGAAATAACATCGGCCTGAGAGGTGTATATCGGCTATTTAACACCGGTTTGGAGTTTTGATGCGTAGGAATTGACCACGAAGGCCGTAGGCCTGAGTGGTTAATTTTGTTGCATCAAAACGACAATACCGGTGTTAAATAGCCGATATACACCTCTCAGGCCGATGTTATTTCGATTCTAACACGAAGAATAAGGAAAATAACTAATGTTACTTTTCAAGCGGAAATAACTTCCGGTGCCGATTTTCGTATAACGCTGTTCGATTTTCGCACCCTACTGTTGCGAAGATATAGAAATTATTAAACAAAAGAAATAATAAGAAAAAACGTTATTTTATCAAGTTTTCAACAATAAAAACTTACGTCGTATTGTGTTTACATCAGTGCCCCATTTATCATTCTTGTCTGTATGAAATAACGTCAACTTGTTTATGAATGAGTTGTTTACTTAGGATGACGTCATTACGCTGCTTACGGATTGGCGCCGTTTTGTCAAAATATTTATTAACTGATATGGATCTAATATGTGGCGTTAGTGTATGTGAGATATTATTTCGGTATTGTATGGAAAAAAAACATTATAGGAACTGAAAATATAAATAAAAATGTTTTTTATTGTTGCTTTAAAATGCTTTGTAAACTATACAATCGAGGGTGAAAACGTAACAGCGCAAATACAAGTAGTCCCTAACCGGTGTTTATTGGCAGTTTAACACCAGTTTCTTTCCTTCTTTGTCTATAGTGACAAAATCACGTGAGTGTTAGAATACCTGTTAAGATTTTATATCACCCGAGCCGTTAGGCGAGGGTGATATTTTATCTTGGCAGGTAATATATCCACATATATCACTCCAAAACCAAAATAATAATTTTATTACCCTTCCCCTGCCGAGTTTAGACGATTTTTTAAAAAATCATTGCTGTTTCAAATGAAACGTCGAAATAAGATTCCCTTTAGGATACCTCTTCGTCACAACATGACGTCACATAAATACATGACGTATTTTTCCCGTACCTTACGAAAGTAAACAAGAGAAAAGGAGTAGTCTATTGAACGCACTTTTTTGTAATTAATATCAAGCTTTAACAAGGTCATATTTGTTTTCCATACTGATGGTAATATGTATCATTACTCTACTTTGGTAAATATTGATCATTTGATAGTTAAAAAGTGCTTTTAAATCGGAATTTACACCGCGTAAAATCGAACCGTACGCGCATCACCTCAGCGCATGTTGTTTACAACGTTGGGTACCAAACGGGGAAATTTAGTGTGTATATTACCCGTCTGGCTCGGTTATATCAATTTCTTTCGGGTGATCAATATCCAATCAAAAAGGCGGAAAAAATCTGGAAGGGTAATAAATATATATATATAGACGTACCATTTGTAAGCATACTTTTGTACAAGTCATTTTTCTGTTACTTTGGTTGTTGATCTCTCCCCGAACTATTATCATTTCTCCCGGGACATATCCTTTCCTGTCAATCGCGATCATGCCGGAAATCGGGTCAGATTCACAGCAAAGACAACATAATCTCTTCTCTCCAGTGTTTGTCGCTCCTTCCTAATAGTAATTTAAACCATAACCTATTAAATTTGTGAAAAATATTTGTACACCTTAGCATGAAGCTTGGTGAAACGATACAAATGTGAAACTGTACGAATTTGCAACTGTACGAATATGCAACTGTATGAATGAAAGTGTACGAATGTGAAAGTGTACGAATGTGAAACTGTAAAAACGAATTTGTAACTGCACGAATGTGAAACTGTAAGAATGTACAACTGTATAAGAATGGTCGCATACCCATTATGTTGGTTTTGTCGTGACGCGGCTTATATCTACAAACAATGAAAATGCTTGTACAATAAGAATAGATACATGTAGCGACTATGAATTGAATTTGATATCTAGAGTATCGACTTTTGTTCTTCTAACAGAAATCTTAAGAACACAGCATTTTCATTGGATGACAGTACAGTTTCACATTCGTACAGTTTCACTCCTGTCGCTATTGTTGTCGTCGAAGTTTCTATTTTCTGTAGAACAGCTTGGATAAACAATACACAGAACCAAATGTTCACAATATTGTTAGAAGTGAAACACATCTATTATAGAAATACACAAAGGTTTATCAGAAACAAATTAGCTGCGTCATGACAAAACCAACATAATGGGTTTGCGACCAGCAAGGATCCAGACCAGTCTGCGCATCCGCGCAGTCTGATCAGGATCCATGCTGTTCGCTTAAAAACCCTATAACAAGTAGAGAAACTGATAGCGAACAGCATGGATCCTGATCAGACTGCGCAGATGCGCAGGCTGGTCTGGATCCATGCTGGTCACAAACCCATTATGTTGGTTTTGTCGTGACGCAGCTCAAATGAAAGGAACAGTATTATACAGCACAAATGAGTATTCGGATATACAATTTTTTCCTCATGGAATCAGAGTGGTAGTGAAGTTACTTACCGTAACATTGGGAATTGTATTTAAATCAAGTGGCACGACAATTGTTATAAGCTTTTTACAGTATTTATCCTTTGCCCATCGGATGTCGATGTGTGCCTTTAAGGAATATCTCACTTGACCAACGAATGCCTCGAATGACGCCGGTATATTTGAAGGAAGCTGGACTTTAAATGGGTATTCATACTTCCCTGGTTTGAATTTTACACTGCTCTTACCTGATTGTTCTGCAAGTTAAAAACAACACATTTTATATACATGTAAAGGTATTGATTAATGTATAGGGATTATCCTGTCTTTGATGAGAAAGGTGAGAATTTACCTGTTTCCTTTATAATATACACGTACACTGTAGTATGTAGCAACGTATATGTAGCAACGCTATGTGTCGCAACGCCGCTATATGTCGCAACTAACGCTAAATGTCGCAACGCTGACGCTATATGTCGCAATCAACGCTATATGTCGCAATCGCCTACCGCTAAATGTCGCAACGTTGCCGCTATATGTCGCACAAAAATCGATCGCCGCTAAATGTCGCAACCCCTTGACGCTAAATGTCGCACTTGGTAGGAAAGTAACAGATGGAACTGAAACAAAAAGTAAGAGTTAAAACATTTAAAGTTAATACCATTTACACATGAAAACATATCCTAGTAAGCAAACAAAATTTTTATTTCGCGGTCTATAGCAAAAACCTTGTATGGCCATAAAAACGGTTTTTGTATTTTCTGATCGCAAGATCAGTAAATACATAGCTAAGATCCACGGTCTAACACAAATTTTCCTAACAGACCTAACAACGCAAAGTAGTTCTCACTCAGAACTGCTTAAAAACCACATTTAAAATAAAGAATAATTTTTAATGTATGCATTTAACGAATTACAGTGCATTAAAAGTTTAGAGTTGTCAATAGAAATATGAGGTTACAATCACAAATTTCGCGGATGAATATCTTTTTTACCCAATGAAAAATGTTCGGCTATTTCCGTAAAGTTTAATCAATGAAAATGCTATTTTTAGCTATGTCGATTACCGAATACTCCAGAGCGTAGTACACAAATAAATCTGACTGTCGAGTAGTGGAATATATACATGTCGTACTGTTTTGGCGAGAAGATTTTCGCTAAATTATTTTCATCAGTGTTAAACAACAGGTTTATAGTGAAGAAATACCTCGAAATTAGTAAGGATTACAAACACGGAATGGAAATTCTCAATTTAGAATTACAATCTATTTGTTATTATTCAAGCTACATATGTATTACTTCACCGTGGTGCAGAGGTAGCGCACTCGTTTAAGGTGTAAGAGGCCCAAGGTTCAAATCCTAGTCGAGGCAACTTTTTTTTTTGAAGTGTCTTTTTTAAGGAAGTAGCCACGATATGCAAGGATAAAGTATGGCTGTCATAAAAAATGAAAATGATTTTTGGATGCAACTCTAGTCATGCAAAATTCCATATGTATCAATCTCAAACTGTTATAGACGCAGTCGCTGCGTAAGATTAATTATAGTATATAAAAATAAACTTATATAGGAAAATACATACAGATAGTCAGTATGATTTAGATTGCAAAGATCAGAAAATACCACAGAGGTTGCAGCCCTTTGATTGATTAAAGGGAATTTGGTTCTCAACCACGGACCAGGTTTGAGATCAAACTTTCTCTTAGAGGATGTCTTTCTCACAAAATGCATCAACAAAAACATTTGGATATACATTTGTTATATTATTTGACATAACTGAGCAAACCGCTTGTTAATGCTAAGGGGGAACTATATCTTAATATATATTTTATATTATACCTGTTTATAATCTGACAAGATAGGCTTTACTACATGTAAGTATTAAATAATACCCAATTGATCTGTTGATCGATATTCGTAACTATGCGGTGTATTGATTTAGGTTTATGACAGAATTGTTGTACTTTCATAACTTTTTATATTTATCTCAATATTTCTTTGGGAACATTAATGAATCAATATACTATGGAATTGCCAAGTGTTGACTGCCTACTGCTTACTGTCAATTGCTTACTGTCAACTGCTTACGGCTTACTACTTATTATTCACTGTTTATAGCATTAAAATAAAAATGGACGACCTATTACAACTATATTGGTCAAAAAATTATTCAGTTGCCGAAATAGTTGCCGTTCTGGAGGTCAAACACAATATAGTGCAGTGGTTTACAGGCCACTTCCAACAGCCTTGCTGTTGGGTAAACCCTTAAGCGATGTGGTTGAGGTGTCCGCCTACGGACCAAGAGGACTGTTGTTCAAAACTCGGTTGGACCCTTGGTATTTTTCTGCCTCCTAATTTACTTTAATGGTGTCAGAAGTGTTTGACGGACTCATGCGGTAAGCAGGGAGTGTCATTCAGGAGAGCTGGCTAGCTCTGAAAAGTAAAGAGGAGAGGAGTGTAGTGGTTGTAGGTATATAGGCCACTTCCATCAGCCTTGCTGTTAGATTAACCCTTTAACGACGTGGTTGAGGTGTCCGTCTACGGACCAAGAGGTCTGTGGTTCAAAACCCGGTTGGACCCTTGGTATTTTCCTGCCTCCTAATTTACTTTAATAGTTTACAGGTATTCTTAGAACAACATTTAAAGGAATTCACTGATAAATTAATAAACGCATGGACTATAACATGGAATTCCATAAACGACAGCAACTATTGACTGCTTACTGTCTACTTCTGACTAACTACTGCCTACTGTTAACTGCCTACTGCTTACTGTCAACTGCTTACTGTCATTTGCCTACTGTCAACTGCTTACGGCTTACTGCTTATTGTTCACTGCTTATAGCATTAAATGTACCAAAACCTAAATAATTATGCGTGTCTGTGCAATAAATCGTTGATAACTCGGTTTGGAATCCTTTGGCTGATATATTGCAAATAAATACGCACAACACACGGTAGGCAGTAAGCAATAGTGTAAGCAGCGCGCAGTAAGCAGTCAACAGTTGGCTGTCGTTTATGGAATTCCATAATATACTGTATTATAATCAAAAATTTCCAATCGATCTTCGTAATGCACAATCACAATACATGAAAAGTTGGACGTAGCTTTGTTTTATCCAAAAATCTTTAAAAGGTCCTTTTGAATATAAATACATGTATATATTTAACTCATTTGAATATGCTAGATATGCTGACATACCAAAGACCCTTTAAGGCACACAGCGGTGTAGGAGCACATTTGTCTCGGAGCACATTTGTCTTACATGAGACCGATGCGGTAGCATTTGTCCCACATGAGACAAATGCGACCTCAAATGTCTACCCAAAAAAACTAATTTGTGCGACAAATGTGCTCCGATCAAGTTTTTTAAGGGACAAGAAAGCTCATTTGTCTCATGTGTTTTTAAGGGACAAGAAAGCACATTTGTCTCATGTCATTTTTTATTAATTATTTGTCACATATTTCCCCACGGCAGAAATACTTTTTTTAGAATCGATGTTCGCCGTTTTACCTCATTTCAAGTGTAATCATCAATAGGTTTGCTTATGCTTTCTTTATGAAAACCTAAAGTGAACTATTAATTATAATAAAATTATCTCTAATTCAAGAAATTGATTGGCTTAACCTGAAAGCGTACACTGAAACATATTAAATCCCGTTCACGATGATACAATGGTGACAGCGCGGTGGCACGATGTTACGTTGATAACAACGCGATGGTGCGATGGTGAAAACACAATGGTACGATTGTGAAACAACGATTGTACGATGGTGAAACAACGAAGGCTCGATGATGAAAACGTGATGGTACTATGGTGAAAGACGATGTTACGATGGTGAAAATATGATGATACGATATGATAAAACTGCGATGGCATGATGATAAAAACGCGATATTATTTTCTCTATCGTGTCATCGCATCATCGTGATTTCATCATCGTGCCATCGTGTTTTAATCATCGTACCATCTCAATTTCAACTTTGTACCATTGTGTATAGCTGTTCAGGGAGACAAAAATGTTACTAATGTCCAAACGGAACACCGTAATCGGTTGATATTGAATGATACAATATCGTAACTGGTTTCGCATCTCGTCGAAATCTCGCGTCTCGCTTCGCATCTCGTTCATCGACGCGAGACAAGAAATTGACTGGGTCATATACCGCTAAGTCGTATAACCTTTATAGTCTACATAAAATCACTTAAAGGCCCATTATTTTATTACTCGAAATAAAGAGAAACAAATCATACAGTCAACATACGTGTTTATTTTTTATACGTTTTACTTTCATTTATGTAGTACTACAAACAAGCTGTTATGACAACGACAAAGTTTGAATGGGATATTATTGGCCGCTCTAAATATAAATTCCGCCGACCGAAAGAGGAGTAAACGTGTAACATGTAACCAAAAACACACAAATTAAAAAACCAATGCAACTAGAAACCAAATGACCCTCTAACTGACCCTTTTAAATGGAGACGAACTACTTTAACTTAACCTTGCTAGCTAACATAAGTTTTTGACCCCATAGGAACTCGGTAGTGAGAGAATCATAATTCTAACACTCACGTGATTTTGTCACTTTAGACAAAGAAGGAAAAAAACTGGTGTTAAACCGCCAATAAACACCGGTTAGGGACTACTTGTATTTGCGCTGTTACGTTTTCACCCTCGATTGTATAGTTTACAAAGCATTTTAAAGCAACAATAAAAAACATTTTTATTTATATTTTCAGTTCCTATAATGTTTTTTTTCCATACAATACCGAAATAATATCTCACATACACTAACGCCACATATTAGATCCATATCAGTTAATAAATATTTTGACAAAACGGCGCCAATCCGTAAGCAGCGTAATGACGTCATCCTAAGTAAACAACTCATTCATAAACAAGTTGACGTTATTTCATACAGACAAGAATGATAAATGGGGCACTGATGTAAACACAATACGACGTAAGTTTTTATTGTTGAAAACTTGATAAAATAACGTTTTTTTCTTATTATTTCTTTTGTTTAATAATTTCTATATCTTCGCAACAGTAGGGTGCGAAAATCGAACAGCGTTATACGAAAATCGGCACCGGAAGTTATTTCCGCTTGAAAAATAACATTAGTTATTTTCCTTATTCATCGTGTTAGAATCGAAATAACATCGGCCTGAGAGGTGTATATCGGCTATTTAACACCGGTATTGTCGTTTTGATGCAACAAAATTAACCACTCAGGCCTACGGCCTTCGTGGTC